TCATTGTGCATTTTTTCTTATTAATCCTAAAAGAAAATTTCAGTTTTTGAATGAAAAATCTCCAGTATTATATTTATCACGAACATCAGTAATGGTTATAAAATCAAAGATTGATGATAACTTTTTAAAAATTTCATTGTTCTTCTGGAATGCTAGTTTTCAATGCTAAGCAATTGATTGTCGTAATAAATTAGGAGCAAATAGTATTGTTTTATGGATATCTTAGGAATATAGAAAGTTCCATAGAAAGCACAAATGAACTCAAGACATTCAAGAATATATACCCGATGAGTCCAAAAAAACTGACCTGTTTTTATAACATTCTTTCTGCTCTTTTGGAATTCAAGTTTTAGTCGAATTAGCTAAGGAAAATCTACTAGATAGAAATATTTTTATTGCAAAAGCATTTTGACATAACTAGTGACAAATAAAAAAATTCATTCAATATGAATTTGTACAAGAACGGTATATCTTCACTTAAAGTAAACAAACAATCTTTTCCTCTATCATACTTTACCTTGTTTCGGATTATGTAACAGAAATTTATCAATATTTCCTACAGATTGTTTTAGTCATTGAAATGCTTTATCTATGGCATCAAATTGATCACAATTAAAACTAATCTGATTGACCAAAAAACTCCAATTATGTAATATGTTGTATCACTTCATCAAAAAATAGACGATTCTACTATGGTACGAATATTTCAATAATCTTAGCAAATCAGCATTAATTCTCAATAGTTTATGTCTATTTAATCTGTTAACGTCTAGAAATCTAGCCTGAGAATCATAAATTATCATATGGTTTAGTGATCGCATTATTCAATTTTTACAAAACACCAAAACATAGAGAAAATGATTTCGTTTCTAGATAGATTTCATATTTTTTTTAATATCTTTGTTTTTACCTAATAGTAGAATGTTTTCGAAACAAAGAGATTATTCTTTAGTAGATTTTTTGTAGTTCTATCCATTGGAAAAGGCATTGACCCAAAAAATCAATGTAATACATCTAAGAATCATATTTTCTTAGGATTAAACTTTTTTTGGGCCATCCCATATAAGTATTTTAAAAAATGGCACCATCGAAAAAGAAACTTGAGCCCTTCTAGAACAATTTGACTCAAATAAAAGAGTAACAATAAAAAACTTGACTGAATTTCTGTAGAAAATCGATAATATTGCACATATCAACTCTACTTCATTAGAAAGGTGTAGCATATTCAAGATTGTACCGCTCTATAAACACAAAAATCAAGTTTATATTATACACACCTTAATTTCGTGAAATGTGTTGTCGGTATGTGTTAAGTCATATCTTTTATTTGTCTTATTTTCACTTAACGCACGTTAATATCTAATTCTACCAATATGTGTATCTCTATCGTAACAGACAGTCTAGAGCCAAGTGAATCGAATCTCGGTATATATAAATTGAAATACGTATAGATGTCGGGTTTGATTTATCATAAATATATCAAGTATTTAAACATAGTTTTTCTACTTTGAATATTTTTTTTATTCAATTGATTTTATTGAAATGTAAAGATTAATAATAAACAAATATTTTCTAGTGAATTCTCTTGAGATCTGTCTATCAATGATAAAGATATGTATCTCCATAGAAACAAACTCTATTATGTCCGTTTTTTTTTAAATCGAATGTGAATGAAGTGAGAAGAGAACGAAAAGCAAAACAATTGAATAACATTGTTGTTAAACAATTTAACTTGTTTATAAAATATAAACACAACATTTGACATCGTTTTGAAGACCCTCACAAATACAAATGAAAACTTGTCTATATTAAAGTGTTTTATATTTCAGATATTTTAAAAACTATCTCATCTAACATTAAATCATCGTTCATGTAAGAATTTATATATGAATATGAATTGTTTTTCAAGTGATCGAGATGGCAAGAATGTCATAACATGCAAATTTGTATACTGAAATATATTTTTTCTCCTTCAACAATCAATCAATTGATTATATATTAGAAAGTCTTTCTCATTTCCATTCAACAACATATAGAAAACAACTTAAGAATTTTTGATGAATTTTATTAAATTTGTATATATGTTCGATATTAATTATGATAATCTTAAATGTGGTTTTCAATGGATTCATTCATGTCAATCATTTCTTGAAATCAATTGTCAAAGGTTTGCTTAATAATTCAACCATATTTTGATAAAATTCGAAAATAATATCTCAAAAATAAAAAAAAACAAATGTTTTACATATTTTGATTAAATATACCGTAATTCAAGTCAATAAGAGAAAAATATAATTGAAACAAATCGAATAAAAATATTTTAATTATAAAAAATACAATTAAAAACGAATGAGTAAACGATGTTTTGTTTTTAGTAAAGTGCCATTAAGTCAAAAAATAATCAAAAAAAAACATCAATTGCGATATTTTTACATGGTTCAATATAGCTCTATGAGCTGTACAAGAAGATGTAAATGAAAATTTTTTGAAAAACGATTTGAACGAAATAATCCTATAGAAACACATTAGTGCCAATAGCATCAAATCTCGTTAGCTTGAAAATTTACAGAATCTTTTTCTCCTTCTTACTCAATATGAGAAGAAAAGTGGTACGCATTCTCTTCATTTTAAGTTTGAGCTTTATTAAGAAAACCTACTTCTTTCATACTGAAGGCGAAACAGCCACAAAATATGATTGTATTTCGAGATTTTCCTTATCAAACATAAGTTTTCATGCCAAATAAGTACGAGTTTTACAGTCAGAAAACAAAACTACTTTATAGAACTGACGTTTTCTCAAAATAAATTTTCCGTCAAATCTTGATCCGTACGAGGCGATAGAGTAGAATTGTTTGGAGATAGTCGAGGAGGATATAGACTGAGTTTAGATGGAAAATAGTTTTTAATAAAATCTAAATTATCAAATACAGTTGTGTGTGTTTATCCCAACAATCATACTTATTTTGCATAAAAACTAATCGTTGACAGACAAAATCTTGAGTATATGACCATATTTTGTGGTTATTTTGCCAGAGTTATAAAAGATCTAGACTTTCTAAACGACGTTCAAATCTAAAACTAAAAGGATGCAACTTTTTTTAATCTCTTACTGAGTAATAAGGTATAGAGTATTTCGTAAATCTCCAAGCTAGGAAGACTTGATTCTTTTGTTATTGATGCGTTTTTGTAAAGCTTTTCAGTACAATTCATCCTTTAAAAAATTGTTCATATATACATCCTTGTAGAGTTCGTCGAGATCTATAAAACCATGTAAAACTATTGCAAATGTTTTTTTTTGTCATGAACAAACTGCCCACACTGATCTTCATCATTTCAGTTCATGCGATGTTCACAAAGATGTCTCGATTAGACTAGAAAAAATCTCAAAGTGTTCATCCGCACAGGTCTTTGGAGCCAAGTAATGAGCATCGTATTGAATTTACAACCCAATTTTAGATATTTACTGAAAAATCAAATAAGCGTATTTCGAACTAACATTTGATTCATAAATATATGAAATAATTAGTAGAATATTTTGAAACTTAAAGTGAAAAGAATGTTCCTTTGCCGGGATATTGAATTTTCAGGTAAAGTCGACTTTTGTGACAAATCTGTAATAAATGATCATTTTTTCGAAATTCAATACATCCCTCATAACTCGACTCCAGAGACCCATGGAGACAAACTCTTATAGATTTTTTTAGTCTTAACAAGTCGTCATTGTTGGCACAACACGAGTTCAAAAAGTTGATATTAGGTCAGATAGCCTTCTTGTCAGTCGAATTTTGACTTATTCTCTCTTGACACTAACTGTACTCAATGGAACTCGAGATCGGACAGAAATGTAACGTTTTACAAGTACCTTTAAGCAATAGAAGTTTCCATGAACTCTATTGGTTAACATTAACGTCTCTAAAATATAGAACTACAGAAGAGTACTTTTTTTTCTATAAAATTAATTACATATCAGCTGTCAAAATATATTATTCATTCACTGAAAAACCTTTGGGTTACGCTTAATTTTTTTCTCGTAGGAAAAAATCGCTTTTTACCTTTTTCTGTTTTTCTTATCTACTTACAATTGAATACATTCGAATGTTTCCGTCATTGCATTTGTAATTTGACTATGCTTGACAAACAAACTTTCTATTGGAATATGCTTAGTAACGAAATTGAAAAAAAAAGAGTACTGAATTAATTTGATTTTTTTATTGAGTATTGTACGAAGCCATATTTCATTCTTTTATTCGACACACACATTCATAAAATCTTTAAAAAAAGAAAAAGATGAAATCATCTTCGTCTCGAGACGTAGATCTTTTATTCTTTGCTTTACATCAAGCTAATCTACAATGTTCAGAGAAAAGTGGTATGAGGTATGTTTAAAAACCAATAAGAAAATATTAATGTTAATTATTTTTTTTTTAATGAAATTTTTTATTATTTGTTTTAAGATATCCCATGAGTCGTGGTCTTTATTTTTACGACCAATTTACTCGTGTATCTCATGTTGGTGGTATACATCGATATAAACGACATCCAGAAGAATTAAATCAAGCTTTACATCATGTTCGAGTTGCTTTAGCTGCTGAAGATGATCAACCAGCTAAAACAGAAACAGCATCACCAACAACTACAATCAATCCTACACCTTCTCCAATTAAACAACAACTTGGGAAACAAACAAATGATGTTCTTTTAAGAACAATTGAACGAAAATTAAAAGCACCAATTATTCCTGATTTATTATTCAAAGATTTAGATACATTATTTCAACGATTTGATGATAAATCTAAAACAGCTGTATCATCATCAACACCGAAACTTCCATCATCAATAGCTCCCAAATCTGCTCAATCGACTCTTCCTGATAATGAACAAGAACTTGATACAATGCCAATTCAAGAAGCTGATGATGAAGATGAATTAATAGCAGCAACATCAAATGCACCTAAAATTTCATTACCAGGTTCATTAATTATTGGACTACATTCAACATGGGCTGATCTTATTGACAATACTGAATATAGATATAAAGTTATTTTAAAATATTTTTTATTATCAAAAATTCTTTTTTTTTTTGACTTTTTTTTTTCTAAAGACTTGGCAAACAAAAGGTGGTGAAGATAATTGGCGTCGTTATGTCGAACGAAAACGTTTAGAACAACTTAATGCTGAAAAACATCGAGGTATTGCTGCTAGTAAACAAAGCAGTTATCGTCAAGGAACTTCCCGTGCAGGTCATAATTCTTTGACAAACCTTTCACGTCAGCAACAGTCATTAACATTAAATCCTCAAATGCGTTCAAATCGTTCATTATCTCGTGTATCATTTATAAGTACAAATACTACTTCACAATTCGATCATATGAAACTACTTAAACCAATTCATCAAGGAAGTTTAGAAAGTTTAACTGAATCATTTAAAAGTGGTATTCATGTTGAATTTAAATTATCAACACAAATTGATCAAACAAAACAACAACAACAATCCCAAATACAAGCATTAAATGAACAAAAAGGTTTTACTATTTTTTATTTGAAATTTTTAAATATTAATGCGAACTTTTTTTTTGTTAAATTTTTTGTTTAGGTGTCATGTTTGATGTACCTAAACCAATTGTTGATGTACATGAAGATATTATTGCATTAACTCAAGCAAGATGTAAACGTCTTTTAGCTGAAACAAAACAAAAAATGTTTGTTGACAGATATTTAAATTCATTTTCTTTTTATTTTCTTTTTTTATTTATTTATTTGTGAATAGACTTGCAACAGTGCCAGATTCAAATATTCAAAACCCAAAAATGTGTAAAGTTTGGTATTACGGTGAAAATCATCTTATTAGAAATAAAACCAATTTATTAACTTTAAATGAATTAGCTCGTTAGTTATTGCATAATAAATAAATAAAAGATTTTCTTTTTTTTTTTTTTTCTTATAGGACGACAAAAATCAAAATTTATTTTTTCAATTTTACGAAGAGAAATTCCTGAAAAATATAATATTGATATTGAAATACCAGAAATTAAAAAAAAATGTTATTTGGAAATGATTGATGGTTCAAGTCAAATTTAGTAAGTCAACAAACAATTTTTTCCTTGAATGTTCAAATCGAATTCAACAAAAATTTGATTTGATTTTTCTTTATATATAAACTGTCGATAATTTCAAATGTGAGCAGATTTTTTTTTTGTAACATATTAAAACAATGTTTATATAGTGAAGCTTAGGAAAATTAGTTATAAAAAAAGCATAGAAGCCTATAAAAACTGACATACGTCAAAAGTATCAAGTCTAGATACTGTCAATATTTATTCGAATTGTTACTTTGTTTTCATTCTGCACATGGTTAGAAAAATAATTATCCATCGATTTCGAAAAATATTGTTTAATTGTTGAGAAAATCGATTGTTTTAGATATAATAGTAAAATGCGATAAATAATGGTTTATACTCAGAGATTTTGACCATCAGAATTTCAGTTCCAAATGAAACTGATATCACATTGAAAATAAGCAGAAAGATCTATATCAAATAGAATGCTCAATACTTAAAATAAGTTTTTATCAATTTATGATCCTTACACTCTTTTACTGTTATTTTCGAACATTATGATCTGTGCTTTCCTAAGATCACACTTTCACAAAGACTAGTTTTGAGTATTGAGTATACTATGTGATGTAAGTTTTTATGCTGATTTACGTTATGATATTTATTTCATTCGCAAATGAAGTTCTAATGGTGAGAATCTTGGAAAATAAACCCGTATTGATAACATTTTGCTATCCTATTGAACTAGTCCGTTTTTTCAACAATCAAACAATATGTTTCAAAATGAACTCATACTTTTTTCGCTGGTAATCATATGATGAGTCAAATAAAAAAGATTTTCGGATAAATATTGACACTACTAAGACTTGATGCTTTTGGCATGTTTCAATTTTTATAGACTTTTCTGTTTTTTTTTTCAAAGTAAATTTTCTAATTTTCACTACAAAAGCATGCTTCGAATATGTCAAAAAACAATACTATTATAAGTATCTCGCCAAACTATCCAACGATGACAAAAAAATGTCAAAAAAAAAACACTCTTAAAATGTTGAATTGCTAGCATCTTATATATATGTATATAAATAGTAGTAGAGGCAATTATTATGCCTTAATCAAAACACAAGTGAAAATATATTGTTTTTTTTTAATCTTGCATAAGTAAATGTTTGTCACAATTCTAAAAAAACAAACAATGAATAAATCAAAGCTATTGCTAAAAACAATAGACTTTCATGAGCATAAAAAGAGGCTTGCATTTAACACAAGTTGATTTTTACTATCATGAACGCATTCAATGAGAGACAACTTTCTCTAGGAAGAAATTATAAGTATATGAAGTCGAATTGTATAATAATAATACGTCTCTTAGTTGAAGAGAAATCAATACAGTTGATCAAAATAAATGAAGGACGATTGTGAGAACAGATTAGTAAAAATCAATTGTTTCTCCAATCTTTTGAGAAACTTTGTCTATCTAATGATGATTATTAAATTTATTAGTAAATATTTTTGTAAAACATAATTAAGATTGACTTGATAGACATCATTAACTATTTTTTCAATTAATTTTTAAAATAGGTTTAGTAAAATTAGTGAACTTTTTATACCATTGACAAGGATCTTATAGAAGTGATCATATTTATTTTTCAAGTTTAGAAATCTTTCAGTAATTTTTAATCTAAAAGAAAAAAATATATATATTACTGTAGTACATTAGAGTTTTATCTGTTGATAATTAATACAACATAAATTTATATTTTCTTGTTTCTAAGTCAATCACTTATTTCTTCTTTGATACACAAATATAATTAATTTTAGATATTAAAATTTTGTTTAAAATATTTAATCCATAAATAAGTAAAAAATTACTTAAATGAGAAATCTTTGTAATACTTTATAATACATATGTTGAATTTTGTTTAGTTATCCATCTGGTCGTTTGGCTGTATTACGTGTTCAATCACCAAATTCAATGATACTCTTTTTTGATGATACTGATGTTCCAGAAAATGTATTTCTCGGTCTTGTTACATCTAATGGTAGTGTTCTTATAATGCAACCAACACTTCATGCTCGTTTTGTAACTGATAATCAACATGAACGTGGTTATATATGTAATGGTAAAACAGGTATGATTGAAAAACAACTTCAATGGCATTCAAATAATTTTGTAACACAACCGACTTTATCAAATGAACCTACAACACATGATGAAGATGAAATACTTCCAGCATTACTTGAAAGTACTGTTCAATTACAATTAAATTCTTTTATGCAACTTGAATATCATAATCCAACAAATATACGTTTTGCATTTGCATGTCAAAAAGAAGAACTTAAATTTCAATTAGGTGTTCATCTAACAACACAATCAACAACATCAGCTGAGTTAACAAAAAAAAATCTTCTAGATAAAAAATTTCAATCAAAACCAAAATTATCAACTATTCTACCAAGTTCAATAAATTCAAATCAAACATCAAATATGTCAGAAAAACAACAAATTCAAGTCGAAAGATTATTAGATGGACAAGTTAATGTTAAAGAATTACCAATGATTAAAGAATTAAATAATTTAAGAAAACGTATTAGAAATATTTGTAATGATTGGCTTAAATCATGTCGAACAACATTAGGTAAACATAAAAACTTTGGTTTTTCTTTAATATTAAATATTTTCAATTTTGCAAATATATTCTTTTTATTTTATTTTATTTTCTATTTCATCTTAGATGAATTAAATATGTTTGAAATGAAAAAATTATGTTTGTAATAGATATAATTTAACTTTACAGAAAATGACAAAAAAAAACAAAATATTGATTATATTATTTATTTTTCTATAATAAAAATAATTTCTTATCCCTAAACTTTTTCCTTTGAACCCATTATAATATATTAATTTTTTTATTCATGTTAATAATTTTAATTATTAAAATTTATTTTATTTATTATTTTTAGGTGTCATGGATATTGATTCATATTGTTTACCAGATTGGCCATCAGCATCAAATCAATTAATTGCTCCAATTATTAAATCTCATCAAAGTAAAAGTGCTAAACAGCCTCGACATGTAACAATATTAACAAAAAATGATTCAACAAATAATGAATTTCTTCAAGCAAGTGAAAGAGAACAAATTATACGAACACATTCAGCAAAAAAACCTCAACGTAAAGTTTTTATTTATTTTAAAGAGAATTTATTTAATTAATTCATTTTTTATTTTAGCAAATCTTATTGCAAATGCAATTATGCAATTTGTGCCTCGTTCGGATAGTGGAAAAATTATGAAACAAAAAATTTATTCGAAGAACAATCGTTTATCAACAACTCTGCCAGCTATCAAGTAAGTGTTCTAAGAAAAAGATATTTTTCATATTACATTCAATGATTAATCTTGACAATTAATCAATGATATTATTTAATGATGAAGAAAACATAGATTATATCATTCAGATTTCTATAGACAAAAGTTTTTAAGTAGCTTCATAGCAGACATGTGAAAAAAAACATGATCATCGACGACTATCCCCATCCAAATCAATTATTCATCATAACCTTAGTTGATAGAACTCATCACGTTAATTCTATGAACACCATTAAATACAAAATATATGTTGAAATCAAAGATATCATTTATCATCCACACTGTTATATTCTCAGATTCACGAATCAATCCTAAGAATAAGATCTAGACAAGAATGCACAGATACAGAATATGATGTTTTCATCTATAAACATCAAAAAAAGGCTACGAAGGACGTATTTTTTCTCTATTATTTCAGAGGATTTCACTGAAAATATAGTTATCAACTCGAAATATTAGTTTATATGGATAAAGCTTGCCAAATGCAGCCCATTTGAGGCTAAAATTTGAAACTCACATGTGTTCTTTAACCTTACGATACTAATACAAATGTATACAGTTAAATCTCTCTCGCAGACTATAGTTGTTTTCCAATCGTGATCGATAGCCAGGAAAACAATCTGTCTTATTTATTTCTTTAGTTGGAATAGAATTTTTTTCTATGGAACTTACATGTCTTCGAAGAAAGCAATGAGTGCAAGTTTAAATCAAGGTTTTTGCAACTCTCTCCTCCGATTGCTAGGATCTGGAAAGAAGCTTACAATCAACGGGGTACGTTTTCCTAACAATTGTGAAGATTCCTACTATAGATTCGTATTCGTCTGAATATTACGGATTTCGGCATTGAATATGACAAAAAGGGTCTTATTGTAGGTGTCAGTCAGTAGACCCGTGGTATTATAAATTTAATCGAGTCAGAATAGGAGTGACATAGAAAAGTTTGAATTAATTCAATTCTTAGTTTAGACACAAAAGCCCAGAGTTTAATTCAAAGTTCATCAAGAGAAAGGACGATGTGCTCGTAATTTTACTCATCGAATAAATCAATTCATATAGCAGGCTAATATGGTAGTTGAACCGACAAAACCAAAAATAAAATGATATATGCCGCTGCCCATGGCATGTATCGTGTATATTATCATTTTGAGAAAAGAAAACGATGTTAAATGAATCTAATAAATTAGTAAAATAGTAATTATAAATACAAACATTTTCGAAATGATGAAATTTCTTATAATTTTGATGTATTCATTTATTGACAGTTTTTTAAGATAAATTATTTTTATCCCTCTGATATTATAACACCAATTTATAGCAGTCAGAATCTCCCAAACTCATGATTTGGTCAGTTCGTTCACACTTTTTATGTTGATCATATGATACCTATCAAGAATGAATCTATCACGATCCATCATCCTTGACTTCTTGAAAATAAATTTTTATTAACGCAAAAATCAAAAACTGAACTATTTAAAACTTTCACAAACGTATTTCAGCCATTCAAATTTCAAAGAAGACTTTGAACAGTGTGAGTCTTATTGTTAATGCTGTTCAATGCCCTTTTTCGTTGCTAAGAAACTTTGAAAAAGAGTTTGGCGCCCATTGTACTTGGTTGCTAAACAAACATAACTTATGAGCGTTTGCTTTTCTCCTTCGCCTTCTCATTACTATAAACAACATTATTATTAGCTCCTAACTAATGCCCCCTTGTTTCTATGAGGGAAATGAGAGTAGCCTCCAAACTTCGACTTAAAATTTACACTGTATTCTTATTCGAAAAACAATATGAGTAACAGGAAGTAATACAAAAATGCGAACTTCGTATTTGTATGGGTGATAACATACAAACAGTTCATATTTTAGAGTTATGCATGGTTTTTCTCAACTTTTCTTGTTCTTATGGTTATTGATAGATCGGGAAACAATATGTGATATCATCTCTTTGATTCAGGCATTTTCGATAACCATTGATATTCGTAGAATTATCTTGACTAGTTCTATTAACTGAGACCATTACGGATTGGTTTAGGAATATTTGTTACTGATTATAAGTTTTTCAGATGAACCCATGAAGTTAAAAATGTCATAGTTTATTTGTATTTCATTCATAATAGTAAATCTTTTAAGAGAGATAAATAATGTATTTCCTACAGTTGATAGTTCTCTATAAGGTTAAAACTTAATATTTAAAATAATTTGTTTTATTTTGAATGGTTCTGAATTAAAACTCTTAAGTTTGCGAAATAATGAAATGCTAGCTACGCATTTAAAAGAGTTGTTAAAAGTGTTCACCTCGATTTTGTATTAAATAAACATTTGATGATACTTGTCAAATGCTTTAAAATATATTTGACATAGGTTACTAGAGACCAACTCGCTTCACAAAACATTATCATGATATTCTTGATATGGTAAAAAATGCTTTTTTTCTATAATTTTAGAAGATGTCTTTTTCTAACATTTGACCATGTTCATAACAACTTACACTAGTAGTTCAATAGGATATTTTTTATTTATATAGTTTTGTCTGTGAATTCGCATAAAAAGGCTGCTTCACTAAAAAAAACGTAGCTTATAACTATTAGTGAAAGACATTTCAAACTGAATAGATTCATTAAATCTTTGAACAATTATGTAGAAGTCTTCGTTCTTATGAAGTTGATTTCATGGTTTCGAAAGCAAAAAAATAACTTTTCAACGATATGATATATGACCATTTGAAATAGCAGTACAAATATTTCTAATAATCAATTTAGAACTCCCGCGGCATTAATATCAAATGAAGAAAGACCATCTTCTCGTACTGTAATGCCAGGTGATCTTCCAATTGCTTGTCCTAATTTAATTCGTCAACGTCTTATTCAAGATGGTCCAGTATCAACAATAATACATGAAACATGTACATGTCGTGCTGATCATATTCCAATTATTCATGATCTTGAATTTGATACATTTATTGAATTAACAGGACAAATAAATCCTAAACAATTAATTGTAGTAGGTATAATAAATTCAAATCTTCGTCAAATTGAAGATGATCTAAATCAACAATCAAATGAAGTATATGAAATTCTTCAAACATTACATTATCACCTTAATTATGGTCGTAGTCAAATATCTATATGTCGTTTATCAACCAATGATGATTATCGTTGTTTAATATATGATTTAGCCGAAGCAACAAAACATAGTTCATTATATGGACCATTACTTGTACGACGTCATAATGTTAAACCTGGTTTTGTTCTTATTTATCAACATGGACAAGTTATTTTCGGTGATTCGATATTTAATGGCTATGGAAAAAACTTACAAGACTTAAAAAAACAATTAAATCGTATGAGACACCAACAAATTGCTTTACCCGAAGAATTCAAATTCATGTTTGTACTTTTAAAATTAAATTATGCATTTGTGTTTGTTTTTAATTTTGTTTGTTTATTTAGTTCTGATCATCGACGAACAAACCCAACAGTTTTGAAATCAGTTTGAAAATTTGTATTTTTTTTTGTAATCTTTTTTAAGCTTTTAATAAATCTCATTTACCAGGAGTTTTATACATTTATAAAATTAAGTCTTTTACTCTTCATCTAGAAAAAAAAAACTGTTTCAATATCAAATCATTTATTTGTATCTTCAGTTGAATTGATAACGAAGACTAAACAAGAAAACTGATTACGTACATAATATAAAGAAATTACTGATTGACTTCTTTTCTTCTATGACAAATAAATAAGATCTAATGCCGTAGTCGAAGAATTTATTGAGATTTTCGAACCATATCTGTCTTGGTTATAAAATCTATTTTGAAATCAGAACATATAATCTGAAAACAGATGATTATGATATTAAAAGAAAAGAATAAAGAAATTTCTTCGAAGGTGTTGTGCTTCTTATTAATCTAACAGAAAATTCATTTTCACGTTGCCATCATTGGTTTGCTTTTTTTTTCTCCAACATCTAGTTAACGGTTGATCATCCAATTCGATTCCTTTGGTATCATTCTAGCAATCAGGTATTGGATGAAACTGATACTCAAGAGCTGACATATAAGTCAACATTCTAGACAAAATTTAGTCCTAGAGAGACATGCAGTATTTGTATCCTTGAATTTTGTTTGGGCTACTTTAAATTACTTCAAACTATGTATTTCAAAATGTCTTAATATAAAAGAAATTATACATTCTAGATGCTTTGATTATAGTCGTATTTTTTTCTGTAAATCCATAGTATGACACAAAAAACTAAGTACTCATCAATTTCAATTACTTGAATATGCCATCGATTAGTCACGAATGTTATCGGTGCATAACGATAAAATAACTCGACGTATATCAGGAAAAAAAGCAATAGTTTGTTATAAATATTTCAATTATTTGTTTAAAACCAAGATGAAAATGAAATACAACGATGAACATAAGGCAAAACAGCGCGCTTCAAATGGAAAAATATTTTGAAATGCTTTACTATATTTGAAATTATTTTAGTGCATGCAAAAATACTTAAGCACCCTTGGAATTTCTGTTGCATACTTTGATCTACTTGTGTATTTTGAACTAATTTTCGACTTAAAGTACACTCTTTCCTCTAGTATTTCTGTCACATGGTACTCAACCCTGTAAGATGCATGATACTGCATTTATGTCAACTAGTATTTTCTCTTCGACTGTGTCTGAAGTTGCCGAAAACAGCGAAACGAAGATCAAAAATATGCTAAAATGTATTATAGTTAATTCATGAAATCTGGATTATTATTATGATTTTATATTCTATCAGTAGTTTCTCTTATGAAATGTTTGTATAATTACTTATCTCAAGTAGGTAATAAAATCTTTTTGTTATTTTCATTGCATCGATATATATATATTATGTTAAACTTTGTTTTAATGTAAAACTAGAAGGCACTTTGATAAATTAATTTCCGATTGTGTGTGTGAGTGTGGTTGGTTTGTTGAGTGAATTAGGTTGAAGAGAAGATCCATATTCTTGCTTCACTTGTGACTACATAATATTTGCTGAAAATTATTTGCCACTTGTTAGAATCAGGCTGTCCCGCATTGTTCAAGAAAACATAACTTTCCTTGAAGGCCGCTCATGAGAACGACCATTTCGAACGTTTCTTTGAATTGAATTTGAACTTCTCACTTGGCTTCTTATGTTTGTAGTAGAAATCTGACTTCATTTTAATAATTAGCATCAAATTTTACGTTAGATAGGCTATTTCGCAAGTATGTCAGATCTTCCTATAAATGAATCGTACTAATTTTTTCGACCTTGTGTATTGCAATCAAGATCTAATTATAGATCTTCGTACTCGCTAATGGAATTATCTTTTATCAGAATTTTCATGATTTGTTCACATTTCTGTACCTTATATCTTAGCCAAGATCGTGCTTTCTTTAGACAGTAATGAATAAACGAAGATCTCATCTTCGTAGCAGTGTGGTACACAACTATAAAAAATAGTAAACCTGAAAGGCTTTCGGGATCTTACTGAAATAAAATAATATAGAAAAGATGTTCGACTTGAAACTTAGAGCTGCCATGAAAAATTAAGCATGAATCTAAACAATGTAAATACTATTTTAGTATATACCAATAGGTATTAGTTGATATTAAAAACAGATAGAGTGTTACATTGACAATTTTATGCCCTGTTCTTTCAATTTGATAATGATCGCCTCCAATTTACGTTTTCTGCTCATTATGTACATTAAAACGAAGGATATCTATCATGTGCAAATACATCAACCATGAAAAGAAAAATCATGTGCTAATGATGATGAAAAAAAAAAACAGATAAGTGCCAGTCAAGCATAAAATGCATTTTATACAAGAATGAGACTTGTTTTTATATTCATATATCAAGTATCATAAGAAACAAGATCAAGAGAAATTGATTGATCTTTGAAATACAATTTATACAATAGACAGGTATATAATAATTTCTTTAAGACACGAAATTCAATTTATTTTTGATAAATTTCACAGAAATAGATAAACAACATAAATTACTGGAAGAAACATTTGATATAAATAATTAATATTTTCCAAATAATTACAAGCATAATTATACATTTTTTTGTTATTATTCATAATATTATTGTAAAATAATAATAAGAGCATAGTTTATACATTGTTCTAAGAAAAGAATTTTCATAGAATAAATCTGTCAAATATGACTCCAATTGCATATTTTAAATCTAATTTAAATTTTGATTTCTATTTCGAAATTTGATTTAACGTTATTTTTTTTTGTTCTCTTCATTCGTTAAGGCGTTCGTCATAGAGAAATTACCAAGCATATTTCATCTTAAAACTATAAGTTTCTCGAAATTTTTTCTTGTTCTGATCTCAAAAAAAAAAACATTTGATTCTTGGACTCAACTCACTTGTATAGTATCAGAAATAATTTTACTTATTTCTAGCAATGACTATTTTACTGAATTTATCACTTAATATATGGTGTGTCAAGCATCAATTGATGTTTCAATTTCGATCTGAAGATTTTCTCATAAAGACATCTTATAAGCTCTTTCATATAATGAAAACTTCAGCTAGGACAACTGTTTTCTTAGAATAACAGGTTCTTAAACAATATGAATATTTTTGCAGAGACTCAGAAAAAAAGAACCATTTCTCTTGTGAATTTGTTATCTCAGGAAGAAAGTGTTCGTCCTAGTTGAAATTTCTGGTGTATGATAGGAAATCATAAGACCTCTTTATGGGAAAAGTTTCAGATCAAAATCTCAGTATGGATTTTTCTGGATACACTATCCACTGAGTAAAAACCTCAGAAAATGGTCATCACTTAGGTAGAAAGTAACAAAGAAATAAATCATTATAGATTTTGTTTACCTACATAGACTTTGCTTAATAACGCAAATTTCATCCTCAAAGGTTTTTATCATCTGGAAAAGTTCACTCGGCAGATGAATGTGTTAACTTTTAGATGTTTATATAATGGAAAATATCCATTTAATCTTTTGATGACTTTGTTCTTCAATGAAGCAACATTATTATACCAAGAGTTTTGTTTTATCATTAGTTTGTATTCGGAAGTTATTTTGTGATTATATTGTTCTTTAATTTTATTTACTATAGATTGAAATAAATTTTATAAATACTGAATACTCATCAGTCAAACGATTTCATCAAGTTGAATACACTATGATACCCAAGACACCTAATCAGAAAACTAAATTGGATAATATTGATAAACAGGAAAAGTTCAACATAGTTTTCAAACAACAGTATGTATTTTTATTAATAATATTCATTTGATTCAGATCAACATTTTTTCTTTTAATGAAAAAAGAATTTCCTCGTATGAAAAACAACCTGCTATACGTGTTTGTTTGTTTGGAATATTCACTACAGTAGCAATTATTGTTGGAGTATTAATAGTTTGTTTTACTTCACCTAATCCAAGTATGTTCCTCATTTGTTATTTTGATCAGTGATATGATTATTGCGATGTCTATTAAGCTTGAAAAAAAGATTTTTTGTCTCAAATATATTTATTATAAATATAAATCATTTTTAGTGTATGTCAAAATTTGATTTGAACTGTTTATTCAATCAGAAATATATAAGAAGATTCACCCAATGAGATTTTCATACGACAAAAAATATCATCATTTGATCTTATTCTCAAAACATCATAAATGATCTTGAACAACTTCAAGAAATCCTCTTCAAAAATCCTTTTTTTTTCAGAAAAATCCAAGATTAGATTCTTCCATAGGAAGATGCAGTCAATGTTATCTATCTCAGAATATATATGATTTTTCAAAGAAAAAAAGGACGAAATTTAAGCAGATTATTGAAAGAAACTGCAATCTTACTATTGTTTTTCGAGAAATATTTGCAGTTTTTAAACTTTTTTGTCGTCTGAATTTTGTTTTCTATTTACATTGGCATTCAATCCATAGCTTTATGTTCATATCAGTCCGTGCACTTCAATGTGTCACGCGCACAGACATTGAACATTAGTGTAATAGTGTATCCATTCTAAACTCTGGTTTGTTCATATTTCCATTGACTAATTTTTTGAGTCAACCCTCTTGTAATGAATTAAAAGATTGATACCTTAATCTGTTTTTATTCGAGCTTCATAAAATGTAATGTCTTGGTTATGAGCAAGAACAATACCGACCTTAATTTGATACATATCTGTACTCTTACTGCTTCTGAGTTCTGTTTTTTTTTTTATATTAAAATTAGTAGAATTAATCTTTATCTCAATATCCTTCATTTATTTTCTGCATGTAAATGTTTTGTTTGTTTTTGTGAGAATGTAACTAGACACTTCTACATACGCGATACACAAACCCTGAACTCCAGCTTATGTATTGTTAAATTATTTGTGTGTATATTGCGTAGAAGACCCAAATTGTTATGTAAAAGCACGAAAAGTATGCAAAAACTGGTATTTATATTTTATCATCACCAACTTGCAGTGTGAAAAAAAAGGTCAGTTTGCTTTATATCAAAGCAATTTAAAAAAATGAAAAAGTTTTAATGGATGCGAAGATATTCAAAGAAAACTATGACGAACAAAAGATAACTACATTAATTAGTTATCAAAAAGGCTGCTGAGTGAAAAAAAAATAAAATATTCAAAAACAAAAAAATCACTACTGCTCAACACACTCGACAATATCAGGAGAGGCGACTGAGAAAATATCAGTCTTTCCTTTATTTATACTGATTGATTAGATTTTAAACGACTATGCTGATTTATCACACTTGGTGTGCGCTTTGTGTGTTTGTCACGATATACTAGGTGCATCGTCCATGTCATGTAGCATCCACCGAGCTGCACTAGTGTCACGTGTGCTGCACGATACTGATACTTAAATATGTTATCAATTCGCCATTTTAATTATTCTGTTAAACTTCAATGAATACATCAGCGTAAAAATTTATTTACCAATGGTATTAGAACATGTTTTTTAAAGAAGAAAAATTGAAATTCATTGTCCTCGGCTAAAGATATAGCCATAATTAGTTTTGCTTGAAAGATCTAAATAAGAGTAAGCCTTTATCCGAACAGTTTTTTTTATAATTGCTTGCTGTGTTGAGAAAAGCAAGATTTAGCGTTTTGAAATCATCTATTTTGCTTATTTTAAGACTATGTACATGTACTAAAATGATTATAAGAAATAGCTATAAGCGAATTCCAAAAGTCTGTTCGGAAAAAACTGATCATAAGTATTAGTTTTAATTCAAAGTAGCATCGAGCTCTGTACTTCTTAGAATAACGAAGTTATAAGAACTCTGCTGAATGTCATAAATAGACTATAAACAAGTCGAAAGTTCGGGCTTGTTTGACATATAGGACTAAAATATTTATTAGTAACGTTCCATGCCGTGACTTTTCATCAAACTCGATCGTTTGCACGGTTTACGCCATGGTCATCAAGTCTTTTAGAGTTTTTCTATCAGACTGATATTTTCTGTCTTGGCGAGATCGATTAATACTGAAAGTCGTTTTCAATATACCACAATATATTTTGTCAAATGATGGAACACTTTTTCCTATTGATGAAATCTTCTAAGTGTTTACTATTTTTATAGTGACATCTGTAATAATTAATCATATTGGAAAAGTAGATAAAAACAGCTTATGTGGCTGGTACAGATATCATGAGCCAGCTCATTTTACATAGATGATGCAATGTTGACTGACATCTAATACTTTTCTTTGATTGTAAAAGTATTCATGGAGCAAGATATTGAAAAAGCCAAGCAGAAGAACTCTGTTTAAGCAACGATTTTCAAGCAGTGATTGAAACATGCACTTTCTCCTTAGAGTAACTCATTTTTGAAATTTTCAGTCTAAATAGATCTTTCTAAATAGTAAATCTGTTCTGACGAGAAAGGAGATTTAAAGATTAAGAAACTATTTGTGTGCTTTAAATTGATTTATGACTTGAATAATCTTTCCTTTCAAATGAAAAATTCAAATAATAATAGAACTTGATTTATTATATATACTAGCGTCGATATGGTGTTTGCTGTTCGTTTTCATCTTCTTTTTCTATGAATGAAACAATATAATTAATAAATAGATCATGATCGATCGTTGATGTTTTAATCATTTTAATTTGTTTTTCAGGTGAAACATGTCAATTCACCTTTAAACGAATGATGAAAAGTTCAATTGTATCTAGTTCACAACCACGATCTGTCGCTGTCGGTGATTTTAACAATGATCATCAAATGGATATTGTTGTAGCAAATTCTGGTACAAATACCATTGGAATATTTCTTTCACAAGGTAACGAAACTTTTACAAATCAACAAGTATATCTAACTGGATTCGACTCTCGTCCATATTCGCTTGTGGTTAATGATTTTAATAATGACAATTATTTAGATGTTGCTGTTGCTAATTATGGTACGAATAATATTGGAATATTTTTAGGAAATAAAAATGGAACGTTAGATAATCAAAAAGTATTTTCACTTAATGCTTCTCGTCCATTTTTTATTACTATTGGTGATTTCAACAATGACAATCGAACGGATATTGTTGTAGCTAATTCTGATACTGATACTATTGGTATACTTCTTGGAAATGGTCATGCATCTTTTCAAAATCAAATAACTTATTCTACTGGTTATGATTCTCATCCATATGCATTAGTGGTTGGTGATTTCAACAAAGATAATCAACTCGATATTGCGGTAGCTAATTATGGTACTGACAATATTGGTGTTTTTCTCGGATATGGTGATGGAAATTTTGCAAATCAAAAAACGTACACAACCACTCTGAATTCAAATCCATCTTCTATTGCTGTTGGTGACTTAAATAATGATAATTCTCTCGATATTATAGTTACACATTCTGGTACCGGCAAAATTGGTATATTTCTTGGCTATGAAGATGGTACATTTACAGCACAAACTACGTTTTCAATAAGCTCCAATTCTCGTCCATATCATATAACTATTGGCGATTTTGATAAGGACAATCAATTAGATGTTGTTGTTGTTGATTCAGAAAATGATCAAATACATATTCTTTTGCAATATAATAATAGAACATTTGCTACAACAACTACATATGATGGAATATATAGATCTCGTCCATTCTTTGTCGCTGTGACAGACTTTAATAATGACAATCAACCCGATATTGTAATAGCCAACTCTGACACTAATAATCTACTGATACTTCATCAATATTTTATAAAACCATCAGCAAGACAAACGATGTATAGTATTGGAAAAGATTCTCGACCATCGTCAGTTGTTATTTATGACTTGAACAATGATAATCGATTAGATTTATTGGTTAATAATTTTAACAACGACAGTTTACTTTTGTTAACTGGTAATGATAATGGATCTTTTGAACAAGTAACAACATACTCGACTGGAAACAAGTCAGCTCCAAAATATCTTTGTATTGGTGACTTTAACAACGATAATAGAATGGATATTGTCACGGCTAATTACGGCTCTGATAGTATAGGGATTCTTCTGGCACAAGACAATGGAACGTTTTCTGATGCCATAACTTACTTTGTAAGTCATGGTTCTAAACCATGGTCCGTCGCTGTTGGAGATTTCAATAATGATAGCCGATTAGATGTTGTCACTGCAAATCATGGATCTGGAGGTTTAGGCATCCTTCTTGGACATGGCCATGGAACATTTCCTAATGCGACGACATACTCTGCTAACATTATTGTTTTACCAATATCAGTTACTGTGGGCGATGTTAATAATGATCATAAGTTGGATCTTGTTGTCACTGACGGTCTTTTTGATAATGTGGGTGTCCTTCTTGGACATGGTGATGGCATTTTTTCTAATGCAACGACATACTCTGTTGGTAGATCTTCTTCTCCAAATGGCGTCAGTCTTGTTGATTTGAATAATGATAATCATCTGGATCTTATTGTCTCTACTTTAGATGGAGGTTTTATTGGCATTTTCATTGGATATGGCAATGGAAGTTTCCAAGAAGTCACAACATATTCGACTGAGTCTACATCATCTCTTTACTATATGGCTATTGCTGATTTCAACAATGATCATCAACATGATTTCGTCGTGACTGATATTACAAATGACGAAATAATTATCTTTTATGGATACGGTAATGGGAGTTTTCGACTTGCAAGGAGGTATCCTACTGGTTTTGGTTCGAGTCCGTATGCCATCACTACTGCCAAGCTAAAGAACAACCAACAAATAAATATTGTTATTACTCTTTGGGGCACTGGAAATGTTGGTATTTTAACCGAATATAATGCTGCAGAATTTGCAAGTAAAAAAACATATCCCACTGGTTCGGCTTCACAACCATATTCTGTAACTGTTGGTAAATACAATAATGATAGTTATGTAGATATAGCCGTCGTCAATGCGGGAAAGGATAATTTAGATATACTTTTCAACTCGGGTAACGGTACATTTGAAACTCAAATAACGTATCCCATTGGTGCTGATTCATATCCACAATATGTCATCACTGATGATATCAATAAAGATGATCATTTGGATATAGTTACTGTTAATTCAAAGAGTAATAGTATTAGTGTAATTATGGGACATGGCAATGGAACTTTTGATATTCCAAAGGTATATTCCACTGGCGAAAATTCATATCCGTTAGCAATAGTTGTCGATGATTTCAATAAAGACAACCGATCGGATTTAATCATCGCTAATGCAGGTACAGATAGCATCGGTGTACTTATTGGATTTCATTATGTATCATTTCAAAGTCAAAAAACTTATTCCGGTGATAATACTCGAGTACCACAACATATCGTTACTAGTGATTTCAATAATGATAAATATCCAGATCTTGCCATCACTTTTTATTTTAGCGATAACATTGGTATCCTTCTTGGATATGAAAATGGAAACTTTGGTGTTACAATGATTTATTCGACTGGAAATGGTTCATTACCTAAAGCATTGGCTACTTATGATTTTAACAATGATGGACTATTGGATATTGTTGTCGTTAATTCAGGTACTAATGACATAGGTATCCTTCTTGGATATGGTAATGGAAATTTCGCTACCATGAAAAGATATTCAACTGGAAATAATTCTACGCCGATTGCGATCGTCTTAACCGATATGAACAATGATGGCCGAATAGATATTGTCGTGGCCAACTCAGCTACCAACAATATAGGTATTCTACTTGGATATGGCAATTTGACTTTCGATACCATAATTACTTATCCAATTGGAAATGATTCGCATCCACAATCTATTGCTGTTGGTGATTTTGACAATGATGGTCGCATGGATATCGTCGTAGCTAATTATCATGCCAACGGTATCAATATTTTTTTAGGTTATGAAAATGGAAACTTTACAAGTCAAGTGAGCTGTTCAACAGGGTATCAATCTTGGCCATCTTGGATAACTGTTGAAGATTTCAATAGAGATAATCGACTTGATATCGCTACCAGTAATTTTAATATGAATAATGTCGCTATCTTTCTTGGGTATGGGAACGGTACTTTTGCTCCTGCTACGATATTTTCCACTGGAGATGGCTCTTCTCCACAATTTATTAAAGCTGACGATTTTAATAATGATGGCATATTAGATATTGCTGCCGCTAATTATGGAACTAATAATATTGTTATTCTATTTGGATTTGGAGATGGGAGTTTTCTACTAGGAACTGCATGCCGAACTGGTCTAGGATCCTCACCGTATGCGCTAGCTATTGGCGATTTTAACAATGATTCCCGGTTAGATATTGCTGTCGTGAATGAAAAATCAAATGAAACAAACATCTTTCTTGGATATGGTAGAGAACTTTATGCTGGTGTAACATCGTATAATGTGGGTTTTGGATCGCAGCCATACTCAGTTGCTATTGGTGATGTGAATAACGATGGTAGATCAGATATTGTTGTAGCTAATTTTGGTACTGACAATATAGCTATTCTACTTGGATGCAGTCATGGAGTTTTTGATATTATAGCAACATATTCAACTGGAGTTGGTTCTGCTCCATACTCTGTTTCTGTAGCTGATTTTAACAACGACAATCAATTGGATATTGTGGTTACTAATTCTGGAACTGATAACATTGCTATTCTGTTTGGTTATGGCAATGGAGCGTTTGTGATTGGAGCGACATACTCAACTGGTGCTCTTTCTCGACCATGCGCTGTTGCCATAAGTGATCTCAATAATGATAATATATTGGACATTGTCATTGCGAATTCTGGCACTAACAATATATTACTACTTTATGGATATGGAAATGGACTTTTTGAAAACGAAACTTATGCTTTAGGCTATGGATATCATCCATACTCTATTGTAATCAAAGATTTAAATCAAGACAGTTGGATGGATATTGTTATTGCATGTTCTGGTACAGATCGTGTAGAAATTCTAATAAAAGTTTGCTAGTGTCACTGTCATTTCATACGCTTTTTCCTTTTGACTTTTATTTCGATTAACAAACAAAGTTCGCTTATTAGAATGAGTTTTCATTTTTGGTTTCTTATTTATATGAGACTAACCATTATATAAATAAATAAACAAACAAACAGGGTGTCCCAGAAATAATCTATCAAAACAGAATTTGAATATCATCACTATGGTCTAACCGAATCAGCTAATTTCTTTTCTGGCGACAGAAGAGTTCCAAGTTTTCAATCTGCTGAGAGAAATTTACGAATAGTGTTTATAAGTATTAACTTTCACTGAGATACAAAAATTAAGTCTTTTTTTTTCAAATCTATAACAACAGGTATGGAGAAGAGTCTAATATGATTAAAATATTATAAATCAATAGTTTGCTTAGTAGTGGAGGATTACTAGACTAGAATAACTTTCGAAGGACTTACATTGTTACCGAGTGTTAACCGAGATATTCAATATTTATTTGAATTGTTACCGTAGAACCCAAGAAGAAAACAGCAGAATTTGATGAAGTTTAATGAAGAATAAAGCAAGGCCAACAAAATTTGGAAAGTGGAAAAGTTCGAAAAGAATCTATTAGGATTTCGAAATTCGAATTCGCTGCTCCGTTCGATAGAATCTGACAGGATCGATCCAATCTTTTTTATCGAATTTTAAGCTGAAACATTGCTCACACGTAGCTGTCAGTTAGACTAGCTTGTGCACAAAACTACCGAATCTTTGAAGATAGTTGCAATGAGATGTAAAATTTTCAAAATTTAGCACCTTACTCGTGATCGCGTAAAATATGCAAAATTTTTCTTAAAATTGATACTTTTCAACATAAGTTCTAAGCTTCTTTTATAAGAATAAAAACTTCGAACTCTTCCCTGTCATGAGAGAAAAATAGCTGATCCGGTTATAACACAGTGAGGATATTCACATTCTATTGTTGGTAGTTTATTCCTGGGACATCCTGTTTGTCCGTACGACGATCATTATATAGCCCTTTCTGGTGGGATGTTGCCAAATGACAACATTTCCCCCTATAAAGGTACGGCATTTTTTAAATAGCTGGCCGAAAACGGATAACATAGTGAGCATCAACATCATTTTACAAAGGAAGAAATGCATAAGTATACCTATCTCAAAGGCCTTGGTGACTTTTATCAATAAAGATTGTTTTACTCATGTTAGCTTGAGACTCAAGCAAAATTTGTTATATATATATATATAATCAGAAGAAAGAAAATAATATAGACATTTATGTTAATAAATATACTTAGACTCGGATTTTCAAAGGCATTCGTGTAAACCAACATTAATCAATTTATGAATTAATGAGGTGGCGTCATTTTTTTCTCTTTTTATATATTATAGATAAGTATTTAGGTTCTTTAATGTATATTATTAATTAATGCTACCTGTTGTAAAATACCATGCTGATGGTTTTTATATGAATAAATGTTGTCAGGAGATAGAGAGAGTCCTGTAATTTTCACGGAAGTATAGCCATGATCTTGACGCATCTTTTTATAGGTAGAAGCCTTTTTTTCGAAAAATATCGAAAGCTTGGTATTTAAAAAAAATCTTTTGGGATTCACTCTTTTTCTTTTTGGGAACTGACGTAGAGAAGAAGCGAGTTTTTTTCATAGGAAAATAGCATCGATATTGCTCCATCGCTTTACGAGAATATAACTATTTTGATCTAAAATATGACTGAAGACCTCAGAAATATATATTTCAGATGTTTTTAGCTTCTTAAATCGCACAGAATCATCTGTTTTCTTCATTGGAAGTTTTATTTTCTTGGACATAGAGACAATGCTTTATATAGTGACATTCTTACATTGTTATTTTTTGTTAGTTCTATTATTTTGACAGTTCAAAAAGTATAAAATATCAACCTTAAAATTAGGAAAACATTTTTCTGTTAGTGTTCTTTTGAAACTTGATCTTCATCGTTCACATCATTATTATTATTATCAGCCATGAGTTGTTCTTTTAATTGTTCTGCATCATATTCAGTTGATTTTCAATCTTTCTTTGTATTTAGTACAACTTTAAATAGAACTTAGTTGTTGCTTCAGGATCACATATATTTAGAGCGTAGGTGTGGATGTTGTTGCAAACGAAAAGAAAACTAAACTCAGATCTAAATCTAGACCCATAATTAAACTGGCTCTATTTTCTACATAGATTATGATAGAATCGACACAGTAAACTTTATAATAAGAAAAGAATTCAATGATCCAACCTCTTCCGTTTTAGAAAATATAAGTTCCAAACGAAAGAATATATGATGAATTCTAACTTTGTAGAAATACTAATGAATTCTTCTGTGGTTTTTTTAATATTAGGTTACTTGAATGGTTAAAAATCGAAGAAAGAATCATATAAAGAGATACACACTACTTCCCTTTCCCTAAAAGCTAAGTAGATACTGAATGAAAATTTGAATGTAATACCAGACAGAAATCTCTATGATATAAATAACAGAACAAAAGAAATATTCAGATGTGAAGATTGTTCGAAAATCTTCTGTTATTGTCACAGAATTAAGTTGAATAATTCCACTGATACATAGAAACAGTGGTTAAGACGATGATTTTATTAAAATAGATTTTCGTCAATGGAAAATACAGCTTATTCAATTAAACGAAGCATTTAACAAGTCATCAAATATTACAATTCGACAAGATTTAAAAACACTTATAAACAAAATTTATGTGGATGCATCGAATAGTAAAGTGCAGTGAATATTACTAATTTTTTCGACTTTAACATTCACAGTAGTAATAGTTCTATCTTATGAATGAAACTTTAGAAATCCTTAATTCTTACATATAACTAAATCGAAGAAAATATGGAATTGGCATAAACTTCTTTTATAAGAATTGATATTTTAATTCATTCTCAACTAATCAAAACTTCAAGAAGAACGATAAATAAGTGAATATTGTTGTTGATGGAAATAGTCAAGGAAACCAACTTTGATTCTCAAGATTTATCATTTGATCGACAAGGCAAACTGTATGTTGCTAACCTAAGCAATAATCAAACATAATGCTCTAACGGCGATTCAAGTTCTGATTTTTAGTAATATAGAATAAATTTGACTGAATTGTCATGATTGTTTCCTAAAAGTTGCCATTGTTCATCAGTAAACAAATGTGTTCATTACATTTGTGCCAAAGTCATTGTTGTATAAGACTTTAATAAGTTTATAAAAAAAAGGACACAAAGCGTCTTTAAACAAAAAAGACTCAGGTTTCTTCCATGATATAAGATCAAAAATATTCAGCTCAAAGCCATAAGTCGTTCGACACAAAAATGATACTAGAATAGACATGAAAATTTATTGATACGTTTATTTTATAAGTACATCATGCACAAGGATATATTGTATTTTTCGTTTAAATTATCGGAAAACTTGAAAATAAGATGAATCGATGTCAATCATTAAAACTAGGTAGAATTTAGAATAGGAAATTCAATGATATCATTTAATAGCTATTGATTGTTGTCTATCAAAAAAAGGATATCCCACAATATCCCATTTATTCAATGAGGTGTATATGGAATTATAGAGTGCTTTTTGACTGACGAAGAGAGATTTACTTAGACGTAGACGATTAAATAAACGAATCAAATACTGTTTAGGACTTATTTTTGTGCTATATAATTGAAAAATCTCAATAATTACAATCTCTGAGAAGATATCATTGATATAAGATAAGTCAAATGATTCAATTTCGTAGATTTAGACTTAATCATCCAAGTATTCATTTGAATTAACATTGAAAAAAAAATAATAAATAAAATTATTATTAACATATTTGAATAAAATTGTTCGCTTTTAATTTATAGGAAGCTTAGGAAAACTTAATTTAGTTTCTAAATCTTCCAAAAATTAAATAATATTTGATTATTTTATCTCAATCTAGATTGATTCTCTAAGTTGATTGAAATTGTCGTTCCATCTCAATTTTCATTTTGTGAATAGTAAGAATCATTTTTCTATTTGAATATTTTGATAAAAATGCTTCTCATCGTAGAATGAAAGAAAAAAATAATAAATTGCAAGAAATTCGGGAGAGTATTTAGACTTTTTCTAAGATCATGGAATAAATGACTTGTAATTGCTGAATTGAAACTGTCCCTAATAAAATCATTATAATAAGATTGAGAATTGCTCTTGGTGACTATTTGTATTTTACCATCGATTGAAATCTGATGTAATTCAAAACAATTACATACTCATTATAATTAGAAAATTTTCACAGCATTATTGTAATGTATAATAAATAATATAGAAGCAAATTAGCTTATCTCGAATATAGCATCTACGACTCAACTATTAATTTGTTAGTTCTAAGTTATATGAAACAAACTAAATCAAGGATTGATAAAAAAAAAGTAGAAATAAGAAACAATTTTTTTTATGCGTATTTTGTTATTTTTTCTTCTCTTTATTTTAATTTTTATGTCTGTCAATGGTTTTCTTTGTTACTTATTATTTTTCTGAACTTGGTAACGTTCACTCCGGATCTTTTCCTGCAGATCTTATTTGAGTCTTATCAGTTGACAATGTTAAATAACACCTCAGCAGTTTCCGTTATAGAAGTAAGCTAACAATGTATTTTCATTTAAGCTACTGTGCTAATAAAAAAAAACAAAGATTAATCCACACGCATGTTTTTCTCATTTTAGTCAGTGCCTAACAAGCAAGCAGTTCAACACGTATCGAACAATAAAAAAGACATATAAAGTGAGTCTTTTGAATATTTTGATTAGATCTGTATCACTTGTACAGCGTTTTCAAAGATTAGAATAAATTTCATCTCATAGGTCTTAAATATTTGGAAGCTTTTTGTTAAATTCATGGAAAACTTTTGTTTCTAAAAGTCATTCATAGTTGTATCAAACCTAAGTGTTCTTTTTTTGGTGAAAGAGGTGAACACAAAATTACATTGACATTTTTTTATACTGAAATTCACAAAACTAGGAATGGAAAGAAGATATAAATCAAACAACAGATAATCACAACAAACAACAGTGCATTAGTAGACTCAGCATTTTTATCTTTACTTAACCAAATAAAATGAGAGACTCGTTTTTAATTGGTAAAGTGAATATAGTTGATTCGAAAAATAAAGTAAAATAGTGTAATTTAAAATTTTCCCCATTTGCCTTGCTAGCATTATGTATTGATAACACTATAACATATCAAGTCTTTTCTTCTATATCACTTTATTATCAAATAAGTGAAAAATGTACTAAAGTTGAAAAATATTGTTTTGCTAAATTTATTTTTAATTATTCAAAGTAAATTAGCTAACTAGATAACAGCATCCGTTACAATAGAAGAAATTATTATGCCATCTGACGTATGACGTACAGACAGGAGCGTAAGCATCATCATGTTATATATCAGCCAAACTCATGAACTGTTATCTTATCTGATAAGAGTTTCCACTTGTAAGCCCATGGGTAAATAGAAGAAACAAGGTAGTTGGATCGCTAAAATTAAAAAAATGAAGAAAACGTTATTAGAATGCCTGCCTGTTGAGGAAAAGATCGGACTGAAATCAAAAATAAAAAAGGATAATGAAACTATATTGCAACATAGAAACACAATAATGAAGACATAAGGAAATAAATAAATAGTATCATGATAAATCTAAATGTATCTATTTTGTGTGTATAATTCAATTATGTTAAGATTTTTCAATACCCTTACAAAACTCATCAAACTTCAAGAGTCCATGTGATCCGAGTGAATTTTCATTTATAATATAACAAATCTCACAATAATCAAGTGATAACAGTATAATATATATCTTATAGTTACTACTGTATTGTAGCTGATGAGCAACAATCATTCAATGTCAATTTTGACGTATGTACTTGAATCGGATGGCTAGCAAAAGTTTGAAAATAGAGAACATCAGCTTGTAAATTCCAATTGATCTTGTATCCCACAATTAATAGAATAGATGTAACATTTTGATTAGAAAGGACACCACACAATAAGATGAAAAATCTGTCACCCACTAGAAGTTTCTCTGTAGTATGTGCGGCATGAATAATCATGTTGTTCTGTACACAATTCATCAAAATCATTATTTCAAATAGTATATAACTCTAGGACGGTTATTCAAAACATAAAGGATTCAAACAAAATCAAAATTTCTCAACAAAACTATTAATAAAATACAATAGAATCCTATTTACTCTAAACAGAATTATAATCAAGAAGAAGAAAGTCTCAGACATCAACCTATTGATTGTAAAAAACACACTAAAATTAGCACATGTCGTTCTGTTCAGTATAGTTGAAAAAGTTTTCAGTTTGAAATAAAAATGAGAGTCAACGAAAATTATCAGCAGCACGTTAAAGATTTCAAAATTGTATTAGTCAATAGAGAGGAAGATTAGATTTCTATATAGGCAATTCATAAGAATCAAATATTCTCTATTTCATGAGAAGAGTTAAATATTTCTACACACTATCGTTATAAGAACTTGCTGAGAAATCGATGGCAGCTACGAATGAACTAGTGCTAGGAACATCAAGCTTTTTTCAATCACTATCAAGTTTGCCACATACAACAGTGTATAGTCATTTACACGGATATTCTTGTCATTCTAAGCAGTTCTTTCCGCATTGAGAAAATAAACATATAAAATAAATCACCTATCGAAAGTCTTTATACTCATCAGTTAAAAAAAATACTTATTAGCTTCTTCAATTTATCTCGTTCATTTTTTTAATATTATTAAAGTGCTAAATATATTCGAACCTGTTTGTCAATTATGGCAAAAGTCAACGAAATTTTGGCGAAACTTGAATCTATTTTCATCAATACCGCCTTCAAATAATGAATGGAATCTTCGAAATGAACGAATATCAACAAGATTATATATTTTACTCTTATGTCTCTCAACAACTATTCTTCTCATGTATACTTCGTTGGTCAAAGTCACAAAAACAGTCAATATCGATGTATCTACTTTCGAAAAATATTCACAATTATATTCTATACATTCACAAGCTTTAACATGTCCATGTACTACAATATCTATCGATTATAAAACATTTCTCAATGTTGAATACACATTTCATCAAATATGCAGTAGTATTTATATTACCAATGATTGGATAAATTACATTGCTCCATCTTTTGATAATCAACCATACTATCCTCCTAATTTTCTCTGGACAAGTACAAATACATTTCGAGGTTTGAGTGCATTTTGTGAATTAACAAACAAAACAATTTCTAAAAGTTTGAATCGATTCTATTCAAATCAGTATATTAGTGCCGTCGTAACGCCATCATACGTATTTGAATCACAAATACAATCAATGTTTGGACAATTTATATCTTCAACAACAAATCATTTCTTATCGTCATTACAAATTATACGAGATACAAGTCAAGCCAATGCTTTGATATCGGCAAAGCAGACAAATATTATACTTTATTTATTATCTGGACATACTATTGCAAACGTAGCACCATTAGAATATGATGGTTGTGATTGTGGCTATTCAGCTAAATGTGCTCAACAATCATCTATTTACAGTTATCCTAATTTAACAACATTATTCACAATACCAGGTCAATACGTAGGATGTTTTCCTCTCGAATCATTATTACAATCGACTCTCGAATGTTTTTATAATCAAACATGTATCGATAAGTTACATTCTTATATAGTATTTAATTCAACTATGAATTTAAAAGCACTTGATTCATCTTTACCAAGTCGTTTCTTCGAAAATTCCACAATACAAGAACTTATCAAGGAATTATTAGTTGAACAATGGAATCGATCTACGATGTATGAGAAGTATTACAACGCTTGTAAACCAATAAGCTGTACTTATAATTACGCAACAAGAAATGATCTAATTTATATTTTTACTACATTTTTTGGTCTTGAAGGTGGTATGGTAACAATTTTAAAACTTGTTGTGCCATTATTAGTTACACTTATAAGATGGAATAAAAGAGTATCAACTGAAAAAACAGGTAAGATGAAGTGAATTTAGAATTATTGAACAATGACAGTAAGAGTTGTATCAATAAAGGGTCAATTACAAAATACATTTCTTTTTTTTTCGTCGCTTTGGTTAGATTCTTGGTTGGTAAGTTTCATTTTATCATGGTTTTGTGAATCGAGAGTACCATGTAGAAACTGTAACCGATCTCAACCTTTTTTTGAAAAATTAATTAGGTGTAAGTAAGAGTTCTTCAAGAAAGAAGTTAATTCTGTTGATCAATAACAGAGATTATTAATATTCTGTCCATTATTTCATCAATATTAACACTTCTTCGAATATATGTGTCACATTGTCCGTCGTTTTTCGTGTATTAGCTTTTGTTAAGACTGTGAATTCTTGATTGCTAAGATCATTAAGCTAGGATTCCATGCAAGACAAGGTGCTTCTCTTTCCACGTTTTGCCAGTATTCAAAGCTCTCTCAATTACATAGGCTTCGCTCATTTCCATTATTACACACTTAAGTATTCAACTATTTGTTCATAAAAATGATTCTAACTTTGAGACTCAACAACCAAACTTTGTTGTTTGTTGTCTAATAGAAGATTTTGAAAATGAATTAGATCTTCAAATTTCTGACGTTCTCTTACTCATCTTTTCCTAATAATATTAATGAAAAATTTCTTCACTCTTTTCTTTAAAGAAACTGATACTCAACAACAAAATTCTTCATTATTTTCCAAGTTTAAACGCAATTTACTGGCATTAAACATGTATCAATCTGTACCACCTTCTATCAATGAATTTGAAGTTCAGAATGAACGACTATCAACACGATTATTTATTATTCTTTCTATTATCTTAACAACAGCGCTTCTCGGCTATATTTCTCTAATAAGTATAACAAAGATTGCAAATGTTAAAGCACCTACTTTCAAAAAATATTCACAATTATATTCGATACATTCAAAAACTTTAACATGTCCATGTACAACAATATCTATCAATTATAAAAAGTTTCTTCATCTCAATTATACATTTCATCAAGTGTGTAGTAGTATTTTTGTTACTGATCATTGGATAAATTACATTGATGGACGTTCTGGAAAAGAAACTGTTAGTGTTGATGATTTTAGATGGAGTGGTACGAATACATTTCGTGCTCTTCGTGCATTTTGTCAATCAACAAACAAAAGCATTTCAGAAAGTGTAGCTCAGTCCTATTCAAATCAATATGTCAGTGCCATGGTAACACCTTCACATTTATTTGAATCACAAATACAATCAATAGTTGACCAATTTATTTCTTTAACAACGAATGATTTATTATCATCATTGCAAATTATACGAGATACAAGTCAAGCTAATGGATTATGGAGTATAGCAGGTGTACAGTACAGTTTACATAAACCGGTCAATGTTGAATATTTAACTTTAAAAGTTCGTGACTATTTTGGCTGTGCATGTGATTATTCAGCTAAATGCATTCGACTATCAGCTATTTACAGATATTCTGATGGAACCACTTTATTTTCAATACCAGGTCTCTACATAGGATGTTTTGCAGTAGAAGCATTATTACAATCAACACTCGAATGTTTTTACAATCAAACTTGTATCAATGAATTACAATCACACTTAAAAAAAAATTCAAGCATAAATATAACAGCTCTTGATTCAACGCTGCCAAGTTGTTTTTCTGATAATTCAACGATACAAGAAGTTATCAACAAATCAATGATTGAACAATGGAATCGAACTATTACGTACGAAAGTTACTTCAATGCATGTCAACCAACACAATGTACTTATAGTTATACAAGTAGAAATGATATAATTTATATTATAACTACATTTTTTGGTCTAACTGGTGGTTTGATAACAATTCTGAAGTTTATTTCACCATTCCTAGTTAAACTTGTAAGAAAGATTAAAAAATCACCAATAATAGAACCAGGTAAGATTTATCTAAAATAGTTAATTTATTTATAATGCTAAGACCTATCTATGGAAGGATTTTGTCTATCCTGAACAGATAGATATTAATTGATCTTTATTTAGAACTTGCTTCGTTACCCCTTCCTCTTCATGTATTACTCACTTGACAAGGTCTATTCGAGCTGAAACTTGTACAGAAAGATGTCTATTGTAAGGTGATTTTCTTCGTGATAATTTCAGTTCAATACATTGAACTAGACTATGGAGGAGAAGTTATCGTTACTAGTTGTCGGATAAGGACAAATTTGTTGATATCAGTTTTTCACTAAAGAATGATATTTTTTTAACGCCATCAACAAATTTTATAAAGTTTGATTAAAGGTTTTCAAAGTCGAGGAATTCGAATTGATAATTGTTTTCTCCAAAAACTGTATATTTTATGTCTTGATTAAATTACCTCTGTCTCTAAAGATCTTTAATAAAACTTTCGGGTGGTCAAAATTTCACCAATAAGACATTATGTGGACTATTCAAGATATTTTGTTCATTCATTTATTATAGAAAACAATACTCATCAACCCACGTCTAGTTCCTATCAAAAAGCAATAAACTATTGCCGAAATTTCAATTTATTTTCATCAAAACCACCTTCAAATAATGAATGGGACCTTCGAAATGAACGAATATCAACAAGATTATATATTTTACTCTTATGTCTCTCAACAACTACTCTTGTCATGTATACTTCGTTAGTCAAAGTCACAAAAACAGCTAATATCAATGTGCCTGCTTTCGAAAAATATTCACATTTATACTCTACACATTCACAAGCTTTAACATGTCCATGTACTACAATATCTATCGATTATAAAAAATTTCTTAATGTTGAATATACATTTCATCAAGTATGTAATAGTATTTACGTAAATGACCATTGGAGAGAATCTGTTTCACCAGATATACCAATATATTATCGTGATTTTCGAGCACATCGTAAGTTTTTCTCTCAAGCATTGAGTACACTTTGTGAATTAACAAATAAAACAGTATCTGAGAGTTTAACTCAATTCTATTCAAATCGATATGTAAGTGCCACGGTTATATCTTCAGAATTGTTTCATTTACAAATGCAATCAATATTTGAACAATTTATTTCTTTAACAACAAACGATTTATTACTATCATTAGAAACTATACGTGATACAACACAAATCAATGCTTTTTTCTCTGGACGATGGACAAATTATGATTTATATCCAACACATTCTCCTGTATTTCCCAAAATGGAAATTTTCACACCAATTCCTCAATACTATTCAAATTGTCGATGTGATGTTTCAATGAGATGTATTCAGCAGGCAGCTATATACAATAATGTTGGTGTTATTAAAGTATTTTCAATACCAGGTATTTATCATGGATGTTTTATAATGGAATCATTATTACAATCGACTCTCGAATGTTTTTATAATCAAATATGTATCGATAAGTTACATTCTTATGTGGTATTTAATTCAACTATGAATTTAACAGCACTTGATTCATCTTTACAAAGTCGTTTCTTGGTAAATTCAACAATACAAGAACTTATCAATGAATTAATGGTAGAACGATGGAATTTATCTACGATGTATGAAAGTTATTACAATGCATGTCAACCAATAAGTTGTACTTATAATTATGTAACAAGAAACAATCTAATTTATGTTGTAACGCTTGTATTTGGTTTAGTTGGTGGCATTGTGACAATTTTGAAACTTATTTTACCCTTATTTGTTCTATTAGTTGCATCTGGTTTTCAGAACAGACGAAGAGTTACACCTGAAACGCTACAAATTACAATCTAATGAAAACTTTTTATTCAGTAACTTTATTCTATGTGTAAACATCATTGATATAATGTCAATATATCAATATTCAAACGACTGAAGAATATAATTAATTAGATGACTTTTACTATTCATAATTACCTAAGAAGAAACAATGTGAATCAAACAACTTTATGTAAACCTAAAAAAAAAATAACACGTTTAGTTGAATTATTGAGATCATTTCTGATAGTATTCTACGAATTTCAAAAAAGAAAACAAGTAATTTTTTGTTTGACATGAATAAGATTAACAATGAAGAGACATATAATGTAAGATAAAAAGAATATTCTACGTAGGTGAACATAATAATCTAATACTCATCTGTAAGAATAATAGTTAGTTTGCGTGTATGAAAAATTGAAATTAGTCTTTACTTGAACATGAATTGTATAGCTAGAAATCATTTTCTGCATTGTTTTGTCATTTTATTTTTGTTAACTCTAAAATAGTTATCATTATAGAAAAGTCACCTAAGTATTCAACCTGCTTGTAGTACATATAATTCTATTTTATTTATAAATGAATAATGGCAATTTTTGTTCTGAAAAGATACTATGTTATTCATTACTTGTTATCTGAAATGATTCATTCTCATGCTTCTTTGAAATAGTTATTAATCATGAAATTTTTGTTGTCTCGTAATAAAACTATGCTAATAGTTGTCGCTATTTTAATGTTGTTCGTCGTATTGCTTCAATTTTAATAATTATTGAATATGTGAAGTGTATCTGTGCCAATAAAAAAGAAAATAAATTCTTGTAAAAAAAAAAAAAATATTAGATTTTAATTTATAATCCTGAAATCTATTTGCTTTTATTATTTAAATATTAAGTGATTGTATTTTATTCAAATAAAATATATATATAAAACATATTGAAATCATTTTCTTCAGATTCTAAATTGACTAATTGTACCATATGACAAGAACTAATGATAATTTGATTCTTTAATAAAATGTGTTTAGTTCTTTTTTTTTTGTAATAATGCAAGACTCTGAAAATCTTTAGACAGATGTCATTATGTTTAAGAAATCTGATGGTCACGAACGATCTATCGATCGATTAATTTTGCTCGGTGAAAAAAAAAACTTACTTTGTTATGAAATATTATTTTCATACTTATAAGAGATAGTTTTTGAATGAATTTCTTTTGCAATAAATAGAGCCAAAGAAATAGTTATTTAATAGAGCTATTTTCATTTTGATTATATTTCACCGTAAATGAAGACCCAGAAGGTATACACTAGTCCCAGTTGTAATTCGTAAACTGGGTACCAGTCAGTTTGAATACACAATAGATCCGAACCATTTTATTTAATCTGACATATTGAAATCAAACTTTCAAAGGTTATATTTAAGACTTAATGATCATAAAAAAAATTTCGAGGCACTACTAAATTTGCTAATATTAAGAGTCAATGATCTAATTAATCGTTCATATTAAATTGAAGTTTTCTGCTTAACACTTAATTCACTTAAAATTAAATGATGAGAATGTCGTATATAAAATTTATTTTCTACTTTTTTTCATATTATGACCTGTCATTTTCAGACTATGTATCTAGATGTTCACTTCATTTTGAATTATTGGTTAATTTCTACTATTATTAAAATACTCATGCAATAGTAATATTCTATATGTTTTGCACAAAATATGCACTCATACGCTATTGAGCCTCAAACTTTGAGTAGACTTAAAGGCTGTGTTTCTTGCACTCGATTGATAGATTTCACTAGTGCATCACAAATCTTCTACAAGTATCAATAGTTTTTGTCGCCTTCATCAGCTAATAATAATATATTCTTAGCCAAAAAAAAATTTAGAAAGCGGTTTTTGAGAAGACATTGAGTTAGATATCAATGAATATTGAACTAAATATCAATGATGACTTGATACACGGATCCTTCACTACAAATGAAGATGCCTACTAAAACATTTTCAATAACGAATAAAATCACAATGGAACGTCTGTTTTCGTGAACATTTCTGGTTTGTCTTGAAAATTTTTTCCAGCAAATCAGATCAAAAATTCCTCTTTCAAGAATCAAATTTCAATAAACATAAACGTTGTCTTACGCAAGTTACGAATTTTTTCTCTGACCTGTTATTATATTATACGTTGCAAAAATGTGAATTCAAAAATAGAATAGCTATGTTTTTTTTTCATTTGAATGACATAGAAAAACTAGTTCTCTGTCATTTTTCACTTCCAGATGCGAATCTTATAAAAAAATGCTGAGTCTACTCTAGAATCAAAATGTTACGCAGTCTATGTACGTAGTGTACTAAATTTGTTAGTTCATTATTTGAATTCGTTTTCATTGCGACTAATTATGTCTTGAATAGAAGATTTCAACAGCTACAAAAGTATATCGAAATTACTGATAAATTTTGGTTTCATAGTGAGAAACCAACCTCAACATAACAAAGAGAGATTAAGCATTAATTAGTACCAAAGTAAAGAAGAAATAGCAAAGACTTCAGTTTTAAAATTTCATGAAGTCTTTTAAAAATTTGAAGCTTCTGTGCTTGAAATCTATTGTTTTCTCCGTCGCGACATACTTGAATAATTCAATTGAAACAAAAAAGTCTCTAAATAAAACAGTCGTTTTTCCATTGAAGTACTTTTGCATGACGAGTATACCAGTAGCTCTATGTTTACGTTGAATTTCAGCTGAAAACTGGTTGCTAGTGAGACCTACTCTTGCTTTTCGGTGAGAGTATACCCGTTTCCAGAACAGATTTCATATTTAATGGGTTTGTTGTTGGTCTTTTGTTATGATGAAAAGTTTTTAAAATAAACATAAATCTATCGAATCAGTTTGTCTAAGTTCTATCCATCACAAGCATAATTGAACGAAAAAAAAACGAATACTAAAGAAGAAATAATATTGCAAAAAGAATTAATCTTTGTTTTGGATTATCCAGTAGTTAAAAACTTCTTGTTTATTTTCTTTAAAAAAAAAAAACGTTTGTTTTCCTATAAAGTTTCTCTTTTATGTGTAATTATATACACAGATAATCAATAAAACCAATTGCAAATCTAAATCGAATAAATTGTTGATATGGTAATTCAATGTTCATCATTATCAGAATCTTCTTCATCCTTTTCTTCTGGTCTCGTACCTTGTGTTAAATTACTTCCTTGATTATATGCTTTAGTTGGTCTATTAAATGGATTATCAGGTGATTTCATCCATTCTTTTTTTAATAATTGCTTTAATTGTGATAAACGTAATGATGGATGTTCTTGTTTTAGTTTAGGTAAATTTTCTTTTTCATATGCTTCATATGCTCCTTTCATACGTTTTTCTGGATGACTATCAACTGCAATTTGTGATGATCTTAACAAAACAAAACAAAAATAATTATTTGGTTTTTATAAGAGAACAAAAAATCATAATGCTTACTGCAAAACATGAATAGCCTCCTCAACATTTCGAGCTGAACTACCATCGATTTTTAGACGATTGACGTTTTCTTCAATTTCAATTTCTTCTTCATTAATATTTTTTTTAGTTTCTTAAAAATAAAATCATTTAAAGAAGACAATAAAAAACAAAAACAACTAAATAGATTACCATTGCCAACAGTAGCGGCAGCAGCTGCAGCTTGTCTGTGTTGAATTTGTGCTTGAGTTACTTTTTTGGGTGCTAAATCCACATTTTTTTTTGATTTTGCCGCTGTTAATGATACTTCTTCTTGTTCAAGTAATTTTTGAAGTTCTTGTTTACGTTGCACTTTTTCATGTTCTTTTTGTTCTCGTTCATCCTTAAATTAAACAGAAGTATTAATTAATCGATTATTTCAGATTTCAAAGGTAAAAATAAACAACAACAACAACAGCATATGTTAGGATATTAAATGATTTACATGGAAAAATCTTTGATTTATTTCGACAAAAAATATTCTCCATAATTATTATTAAAGATTACTAGTCAAGCAAAGTGTGTGAGGACTAGAGTTGTACGAGTCTATGTAATTTTTGGTATCGATAACTTTTATTCGGCCAGTTACAGTCTCTAGTACCAATTCCGGTCTAGAGAAAATTTTTCCAGACTTTATTCATATCACATCTAAAAAATTGTTCAATTTTTCGTTTTCTTTTATTTATTTCGTTGACTACAAGTACTTCTTTGATATGATTTATAATATACATTGCTTAAAACCATAGAATATTTAATTATAATCTTTAGTTTCGACCTCAATGATCGAGATTGGAACTGAAACTAGTCTCGCACATCTGTAGTAAAGACACTTATAAAAGCAGATTTTGTAAGTAAGAAACGCCCAAAAACATTTCTACAATATTTTGAGATGATTAGTACAAGAAAATGACTTTTTACTATACATGGTGTACGTTAAAGCATTGTGAAGAAAATTTCTTAGACATTTTTCAAATGCTCAAGTCATCTTTTTAAGCATCTTATGATAAAAATAGTTGGTTTTCAAAACGAGCGTGACAACAGCTAAACGGGAACCACGATTAAGACGTCTAAATGCCTTTTCAGATGTTCTTGTCTGTTAGGGTACTCACAGTTTAAAAAAAAAAAAGATTCGTCTCTGAAAAATCATACATAAAAAAGTTCATTCTAGTTACAAGAAGAATTTCTTGTTGAAAATTATAAAATTCCATATTGCTATTTGCGACAAATCATTTAATTTTAACATTTTTAAAAACATTCATTCAATATTAAAAAATAGTCAAGGTTTAATTATTGAAGATTAATTTTTATGGATATTTGAGATGAACATACAAAAAATTACTGAACAGAAAAACTAATAATTAAAAGTTAAATTTTGATGAAAATCACTTGTCTGATAGAATCTATTCTTACCTTCAGTTGGAATCAAATAAGTTTGTAATTTTTTTTTTTTCCAGAGAATTGAGACTCATAAAGCTATAAAAAGGCTTAGATATCATGAAAATATATTCTCAGTTAAGTCTATCACATTAGACAATTACGAAATAAATG